CGCTGTGTGCTGGCTGCTTTATCACCAACAAGGTGCTCCTCCAACCATTCCTCAACTTGCGCCTGGATCTCGAAGTCCTCGTTGAAGTCTGGGTTCAGGTCAACAAATCGGCCCCCAACTTCCACTGCCTTCTTCTCCGCTTGACTGGGCGTCGGCCTCCACACTTCCTTTCGTTCACCGGCTCCAAATCCTCCAGCGGCTGGAGCCACAACTCTTCGCCCCAGAGCCAGATGATTTGGTCTTTTATATAAGGCTTCCCTTTCTGCCAGGCATGCTGCTTCTGAAGTCCCCTCGCTTCCATCTCCTCAACCACGTGAATAGGGTGGCTGCCAAGCTACTTGAGGTCCTCGATATCGGAGCTTTGGCAAGTTCGGCAGCCGCGCCCAAAAGACTCAACGCCGTCCTTCTGCCGGTGGCCCGACACCCTTCCTTGCAAGCCACGTCCTCGCCCAGCTCCTCGACTTGATGTTGCCACTCCTGATCGAATCTCCCTTGGGCGATCCACACCTCGTGACCTGTCAGCTGACGAACCTTGCCCGTGACTGCACCCTTTGTCCAGTGGATAGACGACCTGACGGCGGTCTCCACCTTCCTCAAGCCACACATGGCCTGCAACCCCTCGTGGCCTTCCCGTACTCAAAGTAGTCGACCCACGATGACTTGTTTGCCGCTCCAAGGTAGGTGCCAATTGACGGGGGAGAGACTGTCTTCACCAGGAAGTCTCGATCGCTGACACGTCAGAGTCATAGGTGCTCTGATGCAGAAAGGTAGCAATCCTCGCCTGACCAGCGCTTCCCGAGTTCTGATGTGAGAAACTCAGCCTGGTGAGCCATCCATCCATTCTGCACGCCCACTCACTCAGCACCTTCCGGATCGCCTTGCCCCTCGGATCTGGTCCAATGGTGCCGGCGACTATGCGAAGGTCCCCATGCCATTGGAGAACTCGCCCTGACCTTGGTGTAGGGATGACACTCCAACCATCTGATGCTGTGCCATCGGAAGCTGCCGCCTGCTTTCTCCACTTGGCCAGGAGCTTGGTCAAGCCTTTTGTCCCCTTTCGTTGCCCTCCGTGGCCTGCTCAAAGAGCTGCTTGGTGAGGTCCAGCAAGGACATGCTACTGAGCTGCCATTTGCTTGCGGACATCCTCCTCGTCAGGGCCCAAGGTTTTCTCATCGACGAGCTGCTCCATGAACTCCTCCAAAAGTAGACATCAGCCCTTTGCGATCTGGTGAATTGATCATGCCCAATTTGGCGAGGTTGTGCTGCACAGATGACTTCGGGGTGTGTCCACGTGAGGCTGCAAGCCTTCGTCGGGTGTGGCTGGGACGATCCTCTGAGGCATCCGCACGCACTTCCTTTAAGGTGGCCTCCGCATCCTCCGTGTAATAGCTCACTCCACGAGGTCGAACTCTGCGTCGAAGTCCGGTGTCACCTTCTCCTTCTTCCGGTTCGTCACCTTCTTCAGCGGCTGGATCTCGATCTCGACCGGGAAGTTCGTCTCGGTGGTGGCGTTGCGAAGACCTCCTCGTGGTCAGTGCAAACCCGTAGTCCCTGCTTGCTGAGGTAGCCAAGCTTTTAGCAGCCCATTACCATACCCGTTAGATAATCCATATTAAATCCTAGGGGTCAACCCCAGGAAAAAACAACATGTTGCCCGATTATCACCTACGTCCAGAAGAATAATCTGACACGAAAAACTAGCTACAAAGAAAATCTCGACCTTGGAATGGAACAAGGATTTTAATAATGAGGTATCTTAGGCCAGGAATTTAGCAATGCATGTTTTCCCAGTCTGTGATTGCTTGCGCAGGGTCAAGGTATGATTTTAATGCTTTAATAGGGCCGGTCTGTGCATTGCCAGCCTCCAATTCTGGTATTGTTTATTCTGTATCCAACCATGGAGGCAAATATTTGTTTCCTGAGCTCAACTGAGCGGCGTAGTGAAGGGATCAATTTTGGGACGTTGACCGAGGACCCGATGACCCGTTTCGATTGTCCAACCTCGGTGTATGGCCGTTGTTGTTTTTTTAAAGAACATGCATGTCCTCATATATATATATATAATTATATATAATCATATCATTGTGCCTAAAACATGCCAGGCCAATACTCGGAACCAGGAAATGACCAGGTGACCAGCCGGGCCCCTGAACACACAACACATGAATTAGTGATAAAGTGGCTTGTACATGTTTGACATGCACAAGCACACACGTATCACGGACGTTAAGTATCACATTTATACATGTTTGCAGATTTTTGGGTGATATTTGTGAGAATTTTATGTCCATACTAGGATTTAAATAAGCATACTAGTTCGGTATCAGATGTGATCATGTAGGGTTAGGACAGGATTATATTAAAACGTCAGCCCGAGGATTTTAACACGACAGAATCTCAGTCAAAAACATATTGAGCGTCGACCTTGGAACATTTAAAACATAAGAACTAACGTCAGCCCGGAAGGATTTAATACAGTTTTTCAGTTGAAATCCTTCACCCAACGATTCTGGCGTTATTCAACGGGTATATTACCGAGCACCTGTGAGATGCCCGAATGTTCAGGCAATTAGTAGAGCATGCTTTGAACACAATGTGCACCCCGAAGGAAGAACCCCTTTGTCTTCCTCCAACAACATTGCTTCGGTAGATCCTCTCTCCGTGCAGGGCTGGTCACTCAACGCGTGTCGACCACTACTGTCCTCCCATCTAACCCGGCCAGCTTGGCACAGTGTGTCATCGGGCTCCGACTCGGACTTCAACTGCTTCGCAGTTGTGGTGGCTCCATTTTACATCCACCCGCCTTCTGCGCCCCTGCCGTTGAAGCCGCCAGGTGGAAGTGCTCGCCGTTCAGCTCCTTCGCGAGGGCGTAGATCTTGAAGTGCTGCCCTTCCTCTTGACAGGTGTCGTGACGGCAAAGGTGAACTTTGTCATAGCCCTGCAAAGCCAGGAGTAAAGCTGCATCCCCTCGCGTGGCCTCGGACTCGATGGTGAGAACACACTGTTGGTTTTGATTCCTGCGCTCTCAACCACCTTGACGATCACCTTGTCGTGGCGTCTCTTGAGCGCAACGCAGCGGTCAGAGTCGCCAGCCTTCTTGAGCTTTCTCAACTCGGCCGTTTCCGGGATCTCTCAGTGCCTGGGCCAATGAAGCGAGCTCCAACTGCTTCGGGTACTCCGCCACACCATTTCTGAACGTAGCACGTAGTCTGTCCACAGCATCGAACGCAAGCGCATAGGATCCAAATGATCGTGAGCAAGGTCCCGATGGCCAAGGAGAAGAGCGGCCAACATAGGGAGAGCACGTAGTGGGCAGTCAAGCACAGCGCCATGAAAGCTGTGATGCGAACCAACAACGTGCACCCGCTCTTCACGCTCGTCCAGCTCTGACCGAAAATCATCCAGCCAAAGGCGCTAAGTCCACGCGAAGCCTTCCCAGGATCCAGGTTTCCAGGACTCCCAGAGCTCGCTGGCGTTGCCGATGGTGCTGTTGCTCCACTATCTGAAGCCTGCCGGTCCTCTTTGAAACTTCGGCAACTCGAGGTCTGTGGGCTCTAGGGCTGGTTGCCACCAGCCGTTCCCCAGCCTCACCGCCAGAGCCCCCACCAAGACCGCTGCCCTCCAGCGCCATGGCGTGCCCTGACTCGAACAAAAGCCGTAAAGCTCGAGCCTTCAGCAACCGAAGTCGCGTAGTGCTCTCCACCCAAAAATTTCACTTTCGGAAAAGTTCCAAAAACAAGAAATGAAAGTAAGCAACTTTTCCTACGAAGTAAGCTTCGGCGTAGTCCGCTCAAGCCTTGAAGCCATTGGTTTATTTTGTTCTAAACTTCTAAACTTTGGATGTTCCAGCGGAAGTCTGCGTGAATTAACGCTTTTTTGTGCTACAATGTAGAATGGCATAGAATGGCTATGAATAATTGAGCATTGCGATGGGCTTTTGTTCAAGCTCTTTGTTGTTACTCTTTTGGCCTTGTTTGCCTATATTCCTTGTGCGCACGTGTGGTCCAGCACAAATTTGCTTAGGTGTGGTCAGGACTCAGAGGACAGGGGCATGCCAGTTGAAGCAAGACGATGAGTGCTGCATTTCAACCGTGCAGGCTACCCCTCAATAAACCCATACTGTAGCAGAACACAAAATGTTCGGTTTGGACGGCAAACGGGCAAAGATGTAAAGATGGTGCAGGTGCAGCATCGAAGGCTGAGGGTCGTGAGTTGCTGCATTTTTTTTGGAGTTGTGAGGTTGAACCGTCACTTGCCATATAATGATATATAGATACTGTGTATATATACACACATAAGGCACTATAATGTCTTATACTTACTAAGCTCAAAGAATCTCAGAGCATTGCCAAAGGCATGAAGTCATAGATCCATGCTTTCTGGTCAAAGTGCTGAAATCCTCGCACGGGTTTTTATTGCCCTGATTATCCAGATGTTTTTTGTGGCAATGTTAGGGCGGGAGGACATTTGCGATGTTGCTATCCTTGCGTATTGCATACGCGAGTTGACTTTGCGTTCTGCTGTTGTGGAAAGGGTGTCGGGGCGAGGCAATACCTTCACTCGAAGTTCTTGAGGCATCATGCTACCTCTCTCAAAGGATGTGCGCGGTGAATTTGTCAGCCCCAAAGCTTAACGCAATGTTGCGAGAGTTTGTTGTTTTCTTCAGTGCAACTAGGGGCGAACAACCTAAGGGGGTTGCCCTCTCATCCTATCTCTTTTTCATTGCATTCCTGAAGGATACTTTGCCCTAAGGATACCGCAAAGGAGAAACTTGAGAGAGTCACTCCGTGCATCATGCAAATGCAAGTTGTTTATCTCATCTTTGCAAGTGCCTGCGGCGGGTGCTTGCTTATAAAATGTTCCCGGTTCCTGTTGACAGCCTTTTAACTATATGCTTTGTTTTGTTCATCTTTGTGCCGACCTGACTGCAGGGGTGAGGCTGCACAACTTCTCTTTCAAAAGTCGCAGGCAAGGTGGACGGGTCCATAAAGACAGGGAACCTGGTAGGGTCCACTGTCATGAAGGGGAAACTAGGCCAGGTAGGGGCATGAAGGGGCTACTGTCATGCACCAGGCATTGCTATCGAGGAAGCCTTTGTGATAGCGTGTTGTGTTTGCTCATCGGCCCAAGCGTCAGCTTTGGAGCTTTGGAGATGGATGGGGTGGAATGAGCGCCATTGGTAGAGTGTGGGTGAATGCTACAGTACTCCAAGTTTGACAATATCGATACCGATACCGAAACCGATGCAGACTCTCCAAACTCGGGAGCCCCACGGACAGAAGAAGGACTCTTCCAAGCCTTTCTAATCTTGCATCAGCGAAGAGAGCAACTGGATAAGAAGATTCTTGGTCAGTTGCCTGCGCTGTCAGCTGCACTGCAATTTCGTCCACGGCCACAGTTGCGCCTGATCTTGGAGGCGGCAGTTGATGAATACGATGACATTTGCCAGAGGGTTTTGGCTCTCGATGGAGTTCGGCAAGAATCTGCTTTGCGTTCAGTCGGGCACCGCCATGAAATCTCTGTTTGTCGACTTACAGCTGCAAGGGCTTTACAAGCTATGGGGTGTTCAGAGGAGGCTGAGGGGCAAAGCACTCAGGCAATCATAGCTGCCAGCGTCCCTTCGAAGAACGCTCCGGCCTTCGGCGGTTTGAGTTCTGCGATCAGCATGCTCTACCAAACACGGGTTGATGCACTTCTCGTGCGCTCCATGACGCGCTTGAGTCGTGGCGATTTCAATGCTGCTCATCGGGATGCCTTGGATGCCCATTCAGATTCAAGGTCCTTGTACTTGCCACAAATGGAAACAACTGCTCTTGAAATGGCAATGCGGTGCGAAATGGCCTTGCATGCTGGGGGTCCAGGTGAAGATGGGAAAGGCACTCAACTCTCTCCAGAAGACGCGTGCAACATTGATTTCAGAGACAAAGAGTCCTGGTCACTTTTGCAGAAGGAAGCAAGATGTGCAGCAGGTGAAACTTCGGGTTTGACAAACCTTCATTCTATGGACTGAAGGTTCTGTACAAGTGTGAAATAGGTGGTCAAAGGTGCTACCCATCAGCCAAAAGATTCTGTCACGTGCCTCATGTTGGCAACAGAGTGCGGACTTCTCTACTTCATTAACGTGTTTGGTGCGTTTTCTCACCACACCGCCTGCCTGTTGTTTTCCGTATTTGAAACAAGGCCTGCATTTCAAGGAGGCACAAGAACATTCAGGCAAGGAGATGGGCGGTGAATCCGCGGATTCTCCTCAATTGTTTCGATCAAACCATCGCACACACTCTGACAATTGTATTCAGTTAACTCAGTTACCACGATGGGAAGAAAGGCGAAGAACCGCAAGGTGGAAAAGTCGGCGCAAATGTATTGTTGAACATTGTTTCCAAGTGTTCGCAAAATCGATCTGTACAGGTGATGCGGTGACGAGCTCAGCTGCGGGGAAAAGGCTTATGGGAGGAAACATGCAACCACCATGAATCAAACAAGGCGGATTGGACAGCTTTTTCAAAAGTTGTGGCAGGTACACACCAAAGCGTCCTCTGGTGCGTCCCCTGTCACATCCCAGCTTCGTTGGGCCAGGTTGGATGTGACAGGCCTGGCCCCCCTGCCGGTGAAACTGTGGGTAGAAAGTGGGGGTTGAAGTGGCGGTAGGAAACCCTTGGCCCAGGGGTTGACACACACACACAGATCGCCGTCATCGGCGCTTTTTTCAAAAGCGGTGGCAGGCGTTGTGTAGAACGTTGAAAGTGGAGCTTTGTACAGAAAGCGCCAATATTGGCGCTGCGAAAAAACTAATAGCCACCTAAAAAGCCTTAGAAAGACAGACAAAGCAAACAAAACAAAAGCATACTAAGAGGGCAAGAAAGAAAGATAGGGGTAGTTACGGGGCCCACTTAGTTGAATGAAAGTAGAGCGCGAGCGGGACATTTGTCTTAAACCGCCCGGGTAGCTAGCAATAGGCTAGGAGAAACAGAAGGAAAGGCACCAACACACAAGTGTGTTGAGTGCGATTTCCTTCTGTTTCCCGAGTAGCGGGTGGGGTAGCAAAGGGCCCAGGGGTAGGGAGGGGGAAATGCACAGTTAATTTGTCCGGCCTGTGAAGACTTAGCAGCACATGCACATGTGAATACTTAGCCGTCAAACAACTCAGTGCAGAAAAATGCAAACGCTGCCACACTGTCAGTTCCCGTGGTGAGGCCCGGCGGCCGTGGTGGCAGTTAATTCGGTGGTTGTGTAGGTGACTTCCTGTGGGATTCCTGTGAAGAGTGGTGAGGTCAGTTAGTGCTTGCACGATGAGACAGCGCCCCAATGACGGGGATCACACTCAGCACCCGAGTGGGACGGCTGAGCGAAACACACTCTGACAATTGTATTCAGTTAACTCAGTTACCACGATGGGAAGAAAGGCGAAGAACCGCAAGGTGGAAAAGTCGGCGCAAATGTATTGTTGAACATTGTTTCCAAGTGGTCGCAAAATCGATCTGTACAGGTGATGCGGTGACGAGCTCAGCTGCGGGGAAAAGGTTTATGGGAGGAAACATGCAACCACCATGAATCAAACAAGGCGGATTGGACAGCTTTTTCAAAAGTTGTGGCAGGTACACACCAAAGCGTCCTCTGGTGCGTCCCCTGTCACATCCCAGCTTCGTTGGGCCAGGTTGGATGTGACAGGCCTGGGTTGAAGTGGCGGTAGGAAACCCTTGGCCCAGGGGTTGACACACACACACACACTCGGGCAAATGCGTACAGAAGTGATCGCCTCAAGCTCTGAGGTAGTATGTAATGCGGTCTGGCCATTTGAAGGACATCAAAGTTCCAAAGTTAAGAGCCGCACCAAAGTTCGAGGTTCAAAGTTCAGGCCCAAAGCTCAAAGTCAAAGTGCGTGACTGCAGGGAAAGAACCGCTCCGAAGGCTGGAAGAAAACGGAGTGAGATCACGGGACATGAAGGCGGAGAAGACATGAAACGAAAAAGAGAAGAACATGTGAAGGGGGAGGAAGGAGCGTGGATATTGCGCCCAGGGGCATCCCCAACAGAAGGGAAAGAAAATGCGCCAAGCCAGGACACGCAGGCGTCCAGGGACACACCGGTGGAGAGGGGCGTGCCTGTGCGTTACATCCAGGGATACCCCAAAAAGGTGAAAAAGAAGAAGGGAGAGGGAGGGGAGAGGGGAATAAGACATGGGTCTTGAGTGCCTACTCCTGGCATTCAACCTGCTCAAGAACCACTCCAAGTCGGCAGGTCTTAATCCACGTTTGGCATAAGCCTAAGCCTTTTACGCTCGCTGCGAGCTACTCTGTTCCCGGGCAGGGGGAGGGAGACAAACCTTGCTCAGCAAGGCCACGGAGGGCACTCGTCGGGTTCACCCCGGGCTCCCACGATGGGGAGACACACTTGGGAAAATGCCTAACGAAATGAAAGCCACTGGCCCCACAGCAACCTAGGCAACCAATGGTTTCGCATGCAACCAACCCACTAGCGATGGCCGACCAACCTACTAGCGACGCCCTCCCACCTAGATGCAACGGCCTCCAACTTACTCTCTTATTTTGCCCAGGAAGGTGGTTACCAGACTCACAACTGCAAGACACTCAAGGTTGGAGGCCATAGTTTGTAGGGTGGATGGAGGCCATCACAACAAGGTTGGAGGCCCTCGCTACAAGGTTGGCGGCCCACGAAACCAGAAACCAAACTCACAACTGCAAGACACTCAAGGTTGGAG